TAGCAAGAAATACCTTGGCACATTACCCTTGTTACTGTTATGTAAAACACATTGATTTTTGCATGGATTAAAAGAGAAACATGTTGATTAGTGAGCTTTTGCTTGTAGGTGGATGAACTAAAAGAGTGCAACAGTAAATCATTGCCATGCGCGTTCTGATGGAGCTGCCAATCACAATGACTTTGTATTATCGAGCAGCTAAGACCCTGGGCATGAACAGAGCAAGGCTGGAGATTGTTTCTAGCTCACTACTTATGCATCACAGTTATACAAATCAATGATTGTTGAATATTCAGCGCACAATCAGCTTCATCACTGAACAACTTATTATCTCTATGGGGCAAAAAAAAGAGAGACAGATTTCAGTCATGTTAAAAAGTCCAGAGAGAGGCTGAGGGGGTCACTTTACCAAAAAGTAATTCTCATTTAATTAAGAACAAATTAATAATACACCCTAGGGTACCAATCATCTTCTTCATCTAACACTCTGCTTCCAAAATGTCCAACTTTTCCTTTAAGACTTAACTGTATATTAATAGAATGGAATCATGCAATCTTAACTGAGTCAGCAACAGAGCATCTTGAGCTGCCTGTTTGTTTGACTAGTCACTGCCACGCCACACAAACAAACCAACCCAGAATGAAGCCCAACATTTATTGGACCGCAATAACAAACAAGCTGTCCAGCTAAAGATTTTTCTTCCTAAATAGCTTATAAACGATTTTTTCTTTGCAAATGTTCTCTCAGTCAGCAGCAGGTTTGCAAAACAAGCCGACAGCTGGAGGATCCTCAGCCCGTGAGTCAGTGCGACCATTTCTTAAACTCCCAACCTGTCATGTTTCTACACAGCCAGCTTCATGCCGCCCAGCAGGGTGTTAATAGCTAACTAACCAACTCACACCATGATGGTAATAAGCTCTGATCTCGAGACACATTTCCAGCATCAGCTGAGCGACACATACAGTACCAGTAATAAACCTGAGTTGACATCACTAGTCGTAGGTATTTCAGAGTGCAAAGAGACCACGGACTGTATTCAGAAATCATTGTTGCTTTGCTAAATAAAAAAACAACCCAAAAGAAAAAGCCATGAACCATGAACCACTTTATCTCCCTCAGCAGAGCTGTCTGTAACCTGCAGCAACAATAAACAGAGACACATATAGTGTCACACATAATTCTCATCAGCACTTAACCAAACCGACAACACATTTAAGGGTCATTAGAAGGATCGTTATATCACAAAAATGTAGTTATATTTTCATATATGCAATGAGAAGTGTGGTTTGTGACCACACTAGGCATTTTGAGACTGCTGTTACTAAAATACAAACTGAGGATTGACATGTGCAAAGAATTTCAAATTATATCACTGAGTGATCTGAAAAGGTGGGCGTGATCACACTTTTTACACTGTAATGACACAAAAATTGATTTTAATCTGTGAATAAGACACTTAGGTTTACACTCTGCAAAATGTATGTTGATCAAATTACTTTCAGCTTTTTATCAGGTCTGCTGGTGAGGTTAAACTTGTTTGCATGTAGTCTGGCAGCAAGGAACCAGCAGAGACTAGCAGCGTACAACAAAAAGGAACCTGAACCCAGAGGTGTAAAAACAACACTTCCTTTTCAGTATCAGTGTGTGTATGTGGGTTTGTGCGTGGTTGGCATGGGTGGACATTAACATGCACATCTGGAGGACACTAAACCATTTCCATGACCAAGTATCTGCATTCATTTCCCTGATCAGAGCCGTTACTTGCAGCCTGGGGGGAAAACAAGGAAAAACAAATGAAGTCTTGTGTCATTTTCATCACATCACAACTGTGCCTCCTCTCAAACACAACTCATTTGTGTGTGTGTTTGTATGTGTGTGTGTGTGTGTGTGTGTGTGTGTGTGTGTGTGTGTGTGTGTGTGTCTATCTGCATGACTGTCTTTGTGTGTGGGTGCATTGGTGTCACTGTGACTTAGTTACACAATGCTTACATCTAGGAAATGACTACCATCGCAGGCCATGAGCTGTAGTACAGTATATGTAATGGGAAATGGTTCAAATGAAAAATAAGTCACATATGTGGCTTTGAATATAAGCCATCAAACTCAGCCAACAAGTTAAAGCACCGATCACACTGACTTTTATTAGAAAATACTGCAGGAAAAATACTATTAATAAGGGTCCAGTATGCAAGAAAATAAGAGCGAAGTAAAATTGTGCTGCACTACGAGGGGGATTCAGGGAACACAGCCAATAGAACAGGCAACCCACTGTCCCTCCAGTCAAAGTACAGTACAGAATAAAGATGTAAACACAAGACCAAGTTAATAAAACGGAGCTGTACAGAAAACAATGGAGTTTAGCCTGGGTGCACTCATTCCTTGACATTTACTAAAGTCATTTAAGAGCTCAGGTTGAAATCCAAAGCTCTGTCCTGTACATGTACTGTATGATCACCACCTCTCACTACTGTTATCACTGTGTCATAACTGAAGGTTCAGTTCATGCTGATGTGGAAGTATGGGTTCATACTGAAGCTATATTTTAGTCTGAGAAACTTGAGTATAAATTTCTGACAGCTGCTGATGGTTGAGCCCGAGAGCAACACTTCTGCCTATAAAACTGGCAAACGGGAGGAGGCAGAGTTGCAGTCCAGCAACCACATGGTGGTTAGCTACAAAATAGAGTCCAGGCTCCTCAGCCAGTCTCTCTCTGTTCAGTGTACGACCCCTCTCTATTGACATGCTAATGCAGGATCTGCCAACTGAACAGCTTGAATAAAGTGAACACCATCTCCCAAGGTCCTTCAGAGACCTCGGCTTTGGCAACCATGCAGCCTTGAGGGTCGTCAAGAATTCATTAATGGCCATGGGTTGACATTTTAGCAGAGTGGTTCGTAACCTGCAGCTGTTGCATTTAAGCAACATAAAGCCATAGTGAAGGTACTGGCAGAGTTTTTTCTTCTTCTTTGTTAAACTACTGCTCAGACAAAGTGTTTTCTTTTATTAGCCCTCATACATAATAAAGCAACCCTGTGATCTTGTTATGACCCAGTCAATGACCTGCTGATGATTTGGCCCCTTCTGCCATGTACACATTAACCATAAAGCAATAACTCAGAGCAGGACAGGTGCAATTTCCAATCTGAATTTCATTACGGTTCAGTCCCTGCCTGCTTCAAATCATAACATTGGCATTGTTGTGAGGCGGTGGATCGTCAGGAGTAGAGCCCTGTGTGTCTGTAGGCGATGCAACCCACCAGCTGTGAATGAGAAACAAGCAGCATTCTCCATAAATTAACATCCTTCCGCCTCACACAGTTCAAGAGGCCCTGGCTAATGCAAAGAAGAGCAGACAGGGCCTGGCTCTATGAAACAAGAGCAATTCTCCCATGACAGGGTTGGATCTAAGCTAAATAAGTGATGCCTGAATTAGCAAAAGAAATGGCCAGGAGTAAAATGGAAAGCAGCAGAATAAGACGGACATGAGCAAAAACAATACATGTTTACATGTTAAGAGTTCTGAATGACCAGCCACTGCCACAAGACAAAACAGAGGTTACAGACAGAGAAACTCCAGAAGGTAAGAATCAGTCAGACCAGTAATTGATCCACAGTTTACACAAAGAAGAATGTGTCTGTAGATCTAACCTACAAATCAAGCTGCTCACACTCTGGACATCCAAAGGTCTAGGACTGGTACATGACTCCGTCAGATGATCAGCTGAAGCCCCTGAGGCATAACATTAGCAAAACCACTGAGAGCGAGAGTGCTAGTAATGGGTCCCGGGCCTTGAAACTGAACCCCAGATCCACTTAGAGAAATGTCTGCTTATAACCAGTCTACACTGTACAGTACTCCCCTTCAGTTTTACACTACACAGCAGAATAAACTGTCACTTTAAGTATCTTGCGATTGTTTATTTGGATGGTCTGTATTTATATGCTACCGTCTGTATGGACTTATATTATCAATTCTCTTGCTTTTTCATAATGCTTAAATGCTTCCCATAATCAACCTACTCCACAGTTCATTCCATGCAAAGAAGTACAAGTATTATTGGATAAAGCAGGATTAAATGGTAAACACAAGTCTGAATCTGTAACCGATACTGTTTTAACACATAGTCCAGTTTCATCATTAACTAATAAGACTTTTTTAGACCCATATTACCAACCCTCATATTTTAGATAATTAGGATTCTGAAATACTCTGTGAGTACAATCATGTAAAGGGTAAAGGGGTTGTGGAGTGTGGAAAAGGAGTCAATGGTGACATTAAGCCATAGTGTTTTAACCATGTTGCCAGGTGAGAGCAGTGAGAGAAAACAGCTAATCAGGGACAATGAATCAAAGGCAAAACGTGATCTGAGTGTGATCAGGTCTGTGGATTAGAGCTGGAGCCACATTGACAAGCCACGAAAAGCCACTAATTATGGGAAATTAATGTACATATTTGTTGTACGAAACGCGCCTTTAAATCTGCTCCCAAAATATCTAAACATGTGAAACCACAGTAAACCAAGCAGGCCCCAAAATGTGTAAGAATGAGGTGCAATAATACAGCCAGTCCTCCATCCACCCTGCACTGGTTTCAACACAGGGAGCATTTCCCCCCAGCGACCAAGCTGCACAACAAGGATCCAAACAATATTATGAGACATAACAGAACCCCCCCCCCGCTGCTGAATTAATCAAAGAAACGTTTGCAAAAAAAAGAAAAGAAAGAAAAATATGGAAATAAAAGCAGGGTTCGCTCCTCGCACTCTTGTCATTGGATTGACTGTCACGGTTTACCTGTCATACAACGGGGAGGTCTGTCAATGCTCTCTGTTTCAACACAACACAATATGCTTTATGTTACAGGAATAAAACGAAAAGGCAAAACAACAACAACATGCAGGCTGATAAACAGACTCTGGGTCAGGCGGAGTCGACGGACAGGCTCTGCGGGGACAATGCACACAGAGAAGCGGACACACACATCACACTCACACCGCACCTTTCACTTGGGTCTCATAATCGGCTATGATCTCCTTATCCTTCTTGAATTTCGTAGATGACATCGTTCCTCGGGTTTTCGGGTGAGACCCTGCAAGTCGAGGACTCTCTCGGGGTCTTAAGGGTGATGATCCCCTACTTGTAACGCAGCAGCGCTTCGCTCCGTTTATTCTTTTCTTTCCCTTCTAGCGGCCGTGCATGGAGGATAATAAAAGCTTCAACGCGTGGTAGTCCCTGCAGTTGACACTTTAAATCAGTGTACCGTGGAAATAAGCGCACAAATGACACCAATGTTGCATTATTTTCTCTTTTTTTCTTCTAGGTTTTTCTCCCTCTATCTCTCTCTGTCTCTCTCTGTGTCTCTCTCTCTCTCTCTCTCTCTCTCTCTCTCTCTCTTTCTCTCTGGCAGAGGAACCGGGTCCTCCTCCTGCCTGGCACCAGTCAAAAACTCAAAGGCTTTCAGCAGGGAAAAAAAACAAAAGACACAAAGCGAGATCAGAACTATAAGAACAACATGATGAAGGAGAGCGGAGAGACGCTCGAAGGTTTTCAGGCAGCCGAGTCCTTCCTTGAGCCCCGAAAATGGACAGACATGCGTACGAGGAGCGAGGCAGGCAAACACCATTCGTACTCTGACAAATTGCGCTGCAGGGAAACAGGAATTTAAAAGATCGTCACGTGAGCCTCCTCATATTGTCAACCAGCAGTCTCCCCCCTCTCTCTCTCTCTCGCACACACACACCCACACACACAGTCGTGTTTCCATCACTACAGAGGACATTGCATTGACTTACATTCATTTCCTGGAGACAAACCCTAACCTTAACCACTACTTGCCTAACCACAATCTTAACCTTAAACCAAGCCCTCACCTTAATATGTAATAATGTGGGGATTTGTGTTCTGTACCCAGAATGTGCAAACAGATTTACAATCACACAACATGAGTAGACTAATACATGCCCCCCCCCCACACACACACAAACACCAAACACAAACATATAAAAAATGTATTTAATTAATTTGTATTACAGCCACCCTTTCACAATCATATCACTACCTGCAGGTCTGCTGCTGCACATTTTCATAACAATAATTTACACAGTGATGAAATGCTTCCCTCTTCAGACTCCATCACCATGGAAACTTCACACTTTTATCTCTGCATTACTTTCACCGTGGCTACTGTTTAGGAGATGTGGCACGTCTCAGTGGTAGTGAGGGATAATCACTGACATGCTGCTGCATCACACACCCAGAGCAGAGGCCTGTGGTTAAATGGCTCAAGCCACGGCACACCAGCACCAACGCCGCCACTGATGCTTTGATATGTAATCATAGAGGTACCGCTGTGGTACTGTGGGCAACCCTATTATCTTTTAAATGAAAAATGTCCTTTGCACCATGCTCTTTTGTTCCAACAGGTGTATCGTCATGTCCTTTTTGCATCCAGTGTTCATTTTGCCTATTCGTCTCTGTTGGCAGAGCTGATGCTGACAATTAAAGATGCATGAGACAGCAAGAATGTCACCAGTGACAGAAGTGTCTTCAGCCATATAAGCAAAGATAAGAAACTCCTATAGATGCAAGAATAAATGAAACAATGGGGATAAAAGCTTTTCATCATACAAACTGTTAAGAAATACTGAACATGGAATATGGCTGAGCAGAACTGCAAGAACATATGCTTAATAATCCACGATCACAATGCATTTAAAATACTGTAGGAAAAGAAGAAAAAAAACAAATTGGATGAAAATTTGTTTTTTTTATTTTTTAAATGAATTATGTTCGTACATTTGTGCTTATTTGATGGGAGTCGTTTGGAAACATTTACATGGAATAAAGAAAATTCATATCATGAAGAAAAAGCAGCTTTTCAAAGCAGCACAGTGACAGTGTCTGTGTGTTTCTTGACAGTCTTCTGAGTGCTTCACTGTGTTTTTAACAGTCCGTGAGTCTCAGTTTGTTGTCTGTCACCCTCACTATTCTCAGTTCAGGAGGGAACAGGCTGTTGAGTCACATTGAGGTGTCTCAAAACTGCAAACTGCCACACTGTAGAAGCCCTGTGCATTTCATTTCCACCTGCAGCACACAGGCTTAGATGTATATTTCAAACTGACAGGTAGGAAGACTTTTTTTGACAGAACTTAGATCTACAGTCTGCCACAAACCAGCTAAAACAAAAACAAAAATCGTACCTTCACACAATTGGCCCCTTATGGTCTTACTGACATTTGTAACTGCAGACCTGATGGCATTTATTAATGGATTACAATCCAAAAAATGTTATTATTAATTGCTTATAACTGATCTATAAAAAAGCATTAGTAAATAATGTATTTACCATGATTGCCTTTTGCATCATATAGATGTTTTTCACAGCAGCCATTTTGACCTGATATAGTAGGATAAACAAAGGTGTTACCAGTGATACTAATCAAGGTTTCATTCCATTTAGTGTAGCAGAGACTTTCCAGTGAGACAACATGCACGATAGCAGCACCCTGACCCTGTTTGTCCTGAAAAATGACTTAATGTCTAAAAGAACATATCAGTGTAAAGGTACATCACTGCAAGCTAGAGCCTCATGTTAGTCTGCAGCCAGCAACACCAACTTAAAAGGCCATGTGATGCGAAATATGGAGATATTACATTGCACAAATGAAGGGGGACCATTCACTAGTCACCCTAGAGAGTCTAACTGAACAATTACAGAGATGAGGAAGACTTTTACAGAGTCTCTTACGCCAAGAATATCCATTCACACAAGTAGGCATACTCCTTCCCTCCTACTTTTCCACCACTAATGACTTAAGAAGGCAGGTTTGAATTCTTTTCTGGCCTTGTGATGTCCGAACATATTTTCTGGCTGTTGAACACAGCGTGCACAGCCCTCTTCACAGGAGTAAAAGCCCCTGAGGAATTATAAATGGCCTCTGGTAGTGTGTGTGTGTGTGTGTGTAGATATCTGTGTTCAGTGAGACCGAGAAAGTGTGAGTATCTTCCTGTGTTACTTGTCTCTCTGCATCACACTGTCTTTTGTAACTTTGCAGTTCCGGTGGTGAGTCTAAGTTGCTTGTCAGGCCTTATGTATCACCCACTCGTCTGAGGAGTGAAGCCATGAGAGAGCAGACACAGACACAGCAGCTGTGACAGAGAGGCCTGCCGGAGGTTCAGAGTGACAGCAGGGTGGATTCTGCTTTTGTTTGTGTTTACCGTAGAGAAGTCAGCAGAGGTAACCTTTCTGTAGTGCCTTCATCCCCTCCCACTATCCCTCTGTTCCTCACCCCTACCTCTCTCATCAGGCATCTCAGGGGGGAAGCCTGGGAAACTATGACTTCACTGTTTTTATGACACAAAGATCCATTGTGTGATCCTTTTACTAGTTCTTTCTATAGAACAAGAGTGGGAACTGTGATAAAATGCCATCCTGGGCCCGAATGCTGTGATAGATAATAATTTATCTTATGAAGTGTTGAGGCATACAAATAGTTTTTGGGAGCTAAAAATCTCTCAGTGAAGCTATAAATGCAAACCGACAATTGTCGGACAAATGGAACAAAGATTTTTTAATGGAATTTAAATAATTTAAATTAATTTATCACATTTAAAGGACCAGTGTGTAAGATTTAGTGACATATAGCAGCATAGTTGCAGACTGCCACTCATTCCCATTCCAAACATGAGGGGAAAACTACGGTGGTCGCGGAACGCCAGTGTTTGGTTTGTCCATTCTGGGCTACTGTAGAAACATGGCGGTTCATCATGGCGGCTGCCACTGAACGCGACCCGCAGTATCTGCAGATAAAAGCTGCTCATTCTAAGGTAACAAAAACAGTAAATTCAATTCAATTCAATTCAATTCAATTGTATTTGTATAGCGCCAATTCATAACAGAAGTTATCTCAGGACACTTTTCAAATAGAGCAAGTCTAGACCGAACTCTTTATAACATTCTTATTCTTATTTTCAGGTGATTATACACTAATGAAAACATAGTAATGAAGATTATATTCCATTTATGCCAATAGATCCTTTTAAATGTTACACACTGGACCTTTAATTTTTGTGAGAAATTTCATTTCATTTCAAAGTGACACAAAATTTGGAGATTACCTGCAGCAGAGGATGCAACCCCAACCAGGGTTATCATAGTTACAGACATCATTCAATCACCAGGACATCCTATAAAACGCCTCCTTGAGCTTTTAAGGCTGCTTCTACCTTCCAGAGGAAGCTTTGGATGGACATGTGGGGGTTCTCATATCGCTCATAACTGAGCCTCTTTTAATCTAAAGGATTTTTGCCCTGTGAGACTTCAAATAGGCAGCATGTGATGTAACTGCTTTCCCCGTTCCCTACAGGACTGTCAGACATGCAGCACTGATCCGTAAGTAAATAATGTGCAGTAAATGTTGCAGTGTAGAGAATGTGAACGCACCCTTTTTCATGCTCTACTTTTTAACTGTTTTGTTGAGTCAGGGTCAACAGCTCTCAGCTCCACTCAACATTAGAGTTTGGTGTATTTTGGAATCAATCAGTTAATGTATGCATTTTCATCATGTACTGTTAAATGTATTTGCAGCATTATGAAATGCCTTCAGATGTTTTTTACGTTTCCCATCTGACACATATCTCCCAACAAGTACAAAGTTCAGGTTATGTTCACTGTCATATTTTCTTTTCCAATTAGTTTAAAGCTACAAAGGCTCTGACTTGTGTTAGAACTGATTGTGATGCAAGATAATCAAACCCAAACCCCTGACAACCTCTATTGTAGTCTTTAATACATATTCCTTGATGCTGATTTACACTGTCATCAATCAATCATTAAGCACTCATGCTGAGAGAGGGATGTCTCCTTTATATGCTATGCATTTTCTTCCCTAAGAAGTCGGCCCACATGTCTGTAAATGTCACTTTTATTTTAACAAGTAACACCACGGCGAGAGAAGGATATGAAGAATAATCCCAGTGAGGGTCTTCTCAACACTGGGAGAAAATCCCAGTGTAAAATCCCACAGGGTTTATCATACCTGTCTGCTTTGAGGATATTCTATCCTTCTTGCATGCGTGTCTTTTCTCCACATTTCAGGTTACATGTGAGGATAGAAGCATCTCACCTGCATGGATAACAACTGAGTTACACACAGATCAAACAGGACTGTGGTTGTGTGTGTTTGATCTTCTGTCAAAGCAGCAAACCTGGAGCTGCTCTACTTTTTTTCTCAGAGTTTCTTTTCACTGTCAGTCACTCTTTGTTCATTCTCTTTGCAGAGGGAATAAATTCATGCATTATGCGAAAAGTTTTCTTTGCCAATGTGTTTATAAGATCATTAAGTTGGCAAAAAGTTTTTTGCAGTGCCTGACTGTGCTCTGTGCAACACTTGCCATCTGTTGTGCAGGACTTTTCGTTCTCTGACATGAACACACACCCACTTGTCTCTCAGACTTCACACTTACTAATCAGTTGGAAAGAATGGAACATAAAGTCAGAAAAACAACAAAACATTTTCAATAAACATCCTGTATAATATTGACATGAGATAAGCTATGATATGAGTGGGGTTTTTTTCTGTCACAGGAAGTTCAGTAGATAAATATATATATTTTTTTAATTTGTTGCCTTGTATAATCATAATTAAGTGCTTTAAACTTGACGCAACCACAGTGAATAAGAACACAGATAAAAATGAAAAAAACCTTCTTTTCTCTCACAGGTGTTTTCTCAAAGATAAAAGAGAATTATCAGATGAAGTTAAAGCTGTTAGTTCCACTGCCCAGAGGTACAATTAATCACCCAAAGAGAAGACAGTTATTCTTATCACCGCTCGCTGTATAAAAGTCATTAATCACACATGATAAATCAGGAATGGAGATTATGGGCCAAAATATTGCTGCATATTGTCACCATGAATAACTAGTGTTTGGATCTATTTATCTCATTGTTGATGAACCTAATGCCCATACAATGAATTACAACCACTGGTAAATGCGAATAACAACCCATAATTATAGACAGAAATGTGAAGAATGATATGATTTTATCCTGTCTGTTTGATACTGTACACTGTCTCCCTCCTTTCATCTTCTATGTCTTATTCTGCCTCTCTGTTTTTTGTTGTTTACATGTAAGGTGAATGTTTTTCTCAGTGTCCTCCCTCTCAGATCAAAGCCCTATATCATGGCGCCCTCTTCCGATCACTTAGGGGAAAGCTGTATCCGGAAGTAGTAACCAGTGAAATTAAAGAAAACGTCAAGATGAGTCCAGTTAACTAGATATCCTGTTTGGCCTTCTGATTTTGAAAATAAAAGTTTTTCAGATTTAAAATATTTTGAATAATTCTATTTAAACATAATGCCCATTAATGAAGATCATATGATCAATGGTACCAGACAGTTGTGAAAAAAACCTATTAGTAAAATAATGCAATATACCCCTCTCTTAACTGTTTGCCTGATTCTTGCAATCTGTAGGTGAATCTATATGTTTTAATGCACTTTGCTCTATTGTAAGTTGCTTTGAATAAAAGTAAAATATGTAATGTAATTTTGACATTGAAAAACATTCAAAATAGAAAGAAAGAAAGAAAGAAAGAAAGAAAGAAAGAAAGAAAGAAAATCACAGACTGTGAATGTGAGTATTTTGACATATAGCTTGTATATGAAACCTCGAGAGTAATTGAGTACATAATAATAGTTGGAGAATAATTGTGCAGACTTTATACAATATCTTCGTCATGTCACAGTTTATCGTTGATTTTAAGGAGTATTTTTGACATTAAATGATTTAGTCAGATTAAATCCCTGCAGATGATGCTTTTAATCTGAAGGACCTCGTCCGGAAGTGTCTCTACAGAGCGGAAACAACATGTCGCCTCGTGTTTGACAGGTTGGTTTGACTCCAGTTAGCAAGTTTAACACAACTGAACCTCATACGACTGTCATCAGCTTCTACAGTTCAACCGGTGGGCTCATCACACAAACACACATCATAATGTGGCAGCGGTTTGATATAAAAGCCGTATCAGCTGCTAACGTTGCCTTGGTTTTAATTCGGAGCAACTTTTTTAGCTCCTCAATGCTAACGTTAGCCGGCTAAGTTACCTGGTAACATTCATTCTCCATTAATAACGTTAAACTGTTTGTTCACAGTGTTCAAATGAACCGGTGCTAACATGGTACATTACGATAACATGATAGTACTCAATGGTTCTTTAAAATACGTTGTTTCTTGTAAATCTGTACTCTTTATACCTGAATATGGCAAAAATATGCAGCATTAACAGTTCTAATGTCTCTCTCTCTCTCTCTCTCTCTCTCTCTCTCTCTCTCTCTCTCTCCAGCTGTAAATGTGAGAGCTGTGACATATCAACCAGTCGTACCACTGTATCTACTATACAAATACAACATGTCCTCCCAGGAAGATGTGGCTGCAGAGCCAGGCCCTGACACAATGGGATCCTCCTCCTCCTCCTCCTCCTCCTCCTCCACTGAGAATGATGCCACCACTGGGGACATCATCACCGTCACCATTGGAGCAACGGTGCCCACAGGGTTTGAGCACACTGCTGCAGAAGAGATCAAAGAGAAAATTGGGGTTGATGCACGTATAAGCAAAGATCGTGGGCGCGTATACTTTCCAATAACCACTGACAAGCTTTTCCAGGTATGAAACTGAAGCGTCTGTGCCTGCCTTGTTCTTCCAACGTGCTTCTGACTTGTATTATGAGCACAGACAACGTTTGCTTTGATGTTGAATGGTGATCACTGTTTATATGGAGGGTTGGAACCCACAGCTTAGTTTCTCCAGGTGTAAAAAGAAAACCTACACCTAAAATGTATCTGTCTGTCTGTCTGTCTGTCCATTTATTGAATTCTCCACTGTAGGTCCATCTCCTGAGGTCTGTGGACAATCTGTTTGTTGTGGTTGAGGAATATGATCATTACCAGTTCAAAGAATCAAAGGTAACTGACCGCCAGCTTCTTTCTGCTGTAGCTGATGTTAGGTCCGTTATCGCCATGGTAATAAACACTGTGTTTTGTACAGGAGGAGACACTGATGGAGCTGCAGCAGCTTGCCTCTAAACTGTCCTGGACCAATGCTTTAGAGGTTTGGAAACTAAATCGCACCCTAAAAAAGAAGAAAGGCTACCGGAAAGGAGGAAACGGCAACAAAGTCAAACCTACCAGCGAGGCCACTGATGCAGCTGCTGCTGACACCGAGCAGCAAGAGCTCCTTCAAGGAGCGTCTGCCGCTGAAAGCCAGACGAAGGCCGAGAGCACGCCCGATGTGGATTCAAGTGCACAGGACTCGGGGGAGGCAGCACCACCCGAGGCCAAACTCATCAAGTTTCGTGTGACGTGCAACAGGGCCGGTGACAAACACAGCTTTTCCTCTAATGAGGCAGCCAGAGATTTTGGTGGAGCCGTGCAAGAATTCTTCCAGTGGAAAGCAGACATGACAAAGTTTGACGTTGAGGTAGGCATTCTTGTTCAGACTGGACTGATGCAAAGTAATGAATACCATTGCACCAGCCAAGGAAAACTCTGGCTGTTCAGATAAATTTGCAAGGCCTATCCTAATGTTTAGTTTAGGGCTTAACAAAAGAACACATGGCAACCCAGTTAATTCATATTTTCCGTGGAGATAAATTGTTCAGATTATGTGACAACTTCTGGAAATAATGTGTATGTTCCTGAGATTCATTTAAAAGGTTTTCACACAGTGATAACAATCTGTGGCCACGTCTCTTAAAGTTAAGTAACTTCACAACTTCACAAAAGTTTGTTCGCAGACTAAATGCAGTTTTTGTGTCTGTTCTTGGTTAGCTGATAGTTGGATGCATGTTTGGATACATGTTGAAATAATTAGTAAATTGCCGTTAATGTGTTTGTGCGTTTCAATTTACTAAAGATAATTCATTAGAACAGAATTACTGCAACTTTAGTGACATATACAACCATACACAGTACAACACATAGTGAAATTTGTCCTCTGCATTTAACCCATCCTTAGTACTAGGAGCAGTAGGCAGCCACTGTACCGCTCCCAGGGACTAACTCCAGATCTAAGCCAGTGTCTTGGTCAAGGACACTGAATGGAGAAATGAACCTAAACTTTTAATGGTGGAGAAACTAGAGCACCTGGATGAAACCCACACAGACACGGGAAGAACGTGCAAACTCCACACAGAAAGGCCCTGCTCGACCCAGGAATCGAACGCAGGACCTGTGAACCTCTGTGCTGCCCATATATTAGGACTGCAACTGTTATTTTCATTATTGATTAACCTGATGTTTAGTTTCTCTCTTAATCGGTGCCTGCAACTATTAGTTTCATTATTGATTAACCTGATGTGTAGTTTCTCTCTTAATCGGTGCCTGCAACTATTATTTTCATTCGGTTATTCATTTATTAAAAGTAAAGAAAGTAGTGAACAATGGCCTTCAGAAGTGATGTCTGATGTCTTTAACCAGTTTGTTGTTTTGTCCTAAACCCAAAGATATTAAATGTAACTACCCAGGTGATTTTTGGCATTGTTGCTTAAAAAAATACCAAAACAATTTATCCAAGTTTAAACAGTTGGTGATTAACTTCTGTCTTATTGTTACAACTCCACAAAGTATAAAAAACGTTTGTGAAGTTGGATTTGTTTGGAGTTGTTTGTGGCTTGATGGTTGATTTCTGCTCATTCATGTGCTGTATGTTCCTGTGCTGTAGGTGTTACTAAACATACACAATGAAGAGGTGATAATCGGCATTGCCCTCACAGAAGAGAGTCTTCACAGGAGAAACATCAGTCACTTTGGACCCACTACTCTGCGGTCGACTTTGTGCTATGGAATGCTCAGGTAATGACGTACATTTTTCAACTGCTCATGTCTGTAAAAGTCAGAGTGGATGTCTGTGTGCAGCGTTAACATGTACATTATGTGCATATACAGACACCCAATGTAGTAAACAACAGAAATGTATCCTACTAGAAATGTATGTACTGTTTTCCTCTTTTCTGCCTCGAATGTGTCAGGTATTTTATATTTATAGACACATTTGAGCTCCTGTATTTGTTTAAGAGCTTTTTGGTGTGTTTTGTTTTGTTGATATTTATTATTTAAAGGTCCAGTGTGTAACATTAGATCCATTGTCAGAAATGGAATATAATATTCATAGGTATGTTTTCATTATTGTATAATCACCTGAAAATAAGAATGTGTTTTTGTTACCTTAGAATGAGACGTTTTTATCTACAGAGGGAGTGGGTCCTGTTCCTTGGACCATTTTGTACCGCCATGTTTCTACAATGGCCTAGAACAGACAAACCAAACACTGGCTCTACATAGGGTCTTTAAGGTTTTCACGACTTTCACGGCCACCATGGTATCTGCTACACACTTGGAAGGCTGAGCTGTATTGCCATCTGCAACCACTAGATGCCACTGTTTGAATATCATAATGACACATGCAATGACATGTGCGATCACCTTGGACAGCTACCACAGTCACAGAGGATGGGCGAGATTTGGTGACAAAAATATTTCCTAGCTGCAACCGAAGACTCACAACTAACAGGAGATTATGTAATTTGCCTACTCCCACTCACACAAATAGACACAGATGAAGACAAAGGTGCACACACACACGAGGACAAAGGACATGCACGCTACATTGTCATCATCAGGAACCTTCTCTTATAATGATAGAATAATGTAGAATAAAAGGATCAACAACAATCTGAACAACAATCGGCCTCACCTGAAAGTAGACATGACTAACTTGATGGTGAGGTAAGCATGCGTGCCCTGACTGAACAAGCATATCCAATATCGTCACACTAGCCAAAGAAAACTCTTCTCTGTTGCGGTAAATCTGCCAGTCACACCTCAGTGTTTATTTTAAGGCGTAACAAAATAGAAAAATAACTGCTCTGCCGAGTAATATTTTCCATGAAGCCAAGCACATAAATATAATAGTAATAATTTGACTACTGAACACAAGGTTTGCGTACAAATTAAATTCCGTATTGTTACTTGTTGTTGTTGTCCTGAGTTGAAATCCTCATCTCAGTTGTAGTAAAAATTCAAAGCAGTTATCAGGTCATGCTGCAGTTCAAATTTCCAAAAGTGAATTATTGTTTATTTACAGGTTTATTCAGTGTAGGATCCAAAGTAAACTTTTATGATTATTTGGTTTCATTCGTCAGTTTGTTTACACTTATCTGGCACTTACACAACCATTAGTTAAACAAAAACATTCGTTGAGCTGAGCGAAGAAATACAAATCAATGCGATGCAGTTCTAACAGCAGTACTATACATATGACTAGGATGAAATTCAAGTATTTCCCAATTAGAGATTCTACTGATTGCAATTTGAATTTAATTCTTAATTAAATAACTGGCAATGTTAAACTGCTGGTACAGTAGTCTGGTAGACTTATAAAATCAGTCCTATAATATTCTAGTTTTAAGACCGCATGACTGAACAATATAAATGTGTGTGATGTTAAATCTGCAGGAGGAGAGTTCAAATTGGTCAAGGTCTAAAGATTTAGAGCAGCAGTCTTATAAGAATGTTTTTACATTTTTCTTGGGTATCAGGGGCATGTAAGGAAAAGAAGAATTGGTGGAAGCTCTGTGTTGACACGTATAAAATGATTATAGTCAAACCTATGATGTTGCATCGGTGTTATATCCATACTCTATTTTCTGTTGACAGGCTGTGTAAACCTCAGGTATCCGATATAATACTTGATCCAATGTGTGGGACTGGAGCTATACCATTGGAGGTAAGACATACCTTGCATACCTAGACCACAATATTATTAAAAAGTGTTGCTGATTATGTGTTTTGCTTAAAAGAAGAAGTGCAAAGAATGAACAGTGTAAGCCCTCTCCAATAACCTTATGATTACACACTAACATCTACCATCTATACATCATTACACTGCACTACTGCCACTGACCTGCCGCAAGTTCACTTCATGAGAAAATTACAGGCTGAAAACGTCTGGTCTCAAATGGTCAGAAAGTACTACCGTATTTTCCGGACTATAAGTCGCTCCGGAGTATAAGTCGCATCAGTCAATAAATGCCTCATGAAGAGGAAAAAAACATATATAAGTCGCACCGGACTATAAGTCGCATTTATTTAGAAATGTATTTCACAAAATCCATGACCAGGAACAGACAGAGACTATGTAACTGGACACATAGAGGCCAAAAAGATTGAGAATTCTACCGGGAATGTTAATGAAGACGAAGGAGTGAAATGAGGTGAGCTGGGCGATATGAAGGCGGCCAATTTACAAAAGATTCACTGAACAAAAATGCTGTGGTACATGAACATTTAGCTAAAAATGTGGAGAATGCAATGCAATCAAGCATTTTGGGCGATGTCTAAGCAAACGCCGGCAGCAGAGCAAATACTCAGGAAGCTACCTTATTTAGAATTTTTTTTTACAGCATCCAAGACCAAGAACAGACATTCAATCAGGAAATGCAAGTTAAACACGTGTTTCGGTTGTCACTGAAGTCCATGCTGTGTCGATCCATCCAATGACTTGCTGGAAAGTTGCATGGCGCATCCTCCTGGTTGCCGTGAAGCTGTGCTCTCCATCCACCATCCACTCCTCCCACAGGCGACGCAAGACTGCCTTAAAGCTCCGGTTCACTGAGATGTTGAGTGGCTGGAGTACTTTGGTTAAGCCTTAAAACATGTTAAATTTCATATATAAGTCGCACCTGACTATAAGTTGCAGGACTAGCCAAACTATGAAAAAAAGTGCAACTTATAGTCCGGAAAATACGGTAATAACATACAGCTTCATTGCATGAGTTTTCAGTAAGAAAGTCTTACTTATGACTCATTCCTTTTATCTGTAATCAGACCTGCTCAGCTTGGATCAAACGTTTGATCACATCTGGCTGCTTCAGAAAGTAAACACACATTTTTTTGAGCCAAATGTGGTTTTTGGATCAGCAGTTTTTTCAGGCGGTTACTGATATCTGATGAATTTTCATCCATCCACAACAATTCTCTTATCCATCTCTTGATTGATACTTTGAACACCTAAATTCTGATCATTATCAGATGGGATCTGCTGAGTGCTTTCAGTGGTTGTGTTGAGGTCACAGTAGGGTTTTAATGATAATAAAACCACAGACTATTAATTGTCTAATGTTTTTCTTCTCCAGGGGGCCATTGAATTTAACAGTTCATTCTACATTGCCGGTGACAACTATGACATGGCCGTTAACCGCACAGTCAATAATATATGTCACATCCAGAAACGGAGGGCAGAAAAGGGCAGGTGAGAAGGTGGACAGCTGAAAATCTCATAAAGATGTTGTTTCAATATGCAATTTTGTGTCGTCGATAATCAGAATAATGATTTGAAATCCCTTTTGGATCCTTTCAAACAGTGCATCTGGATTGCCCATTGACACAGTGCGTTGGGATCTGTGTAATTTACCCGTAAGGACCAGCTCTGTTGACATAATCATCACTGACATGCCCTTTGGGAAGAGGTACAGGGGACAGTGCTGTGCAGCACATGGTTGATTAAAAAACATGTAGAAATGATCATAAGTTGTTGGATTTACTGTATCTTTCAGCACTTTCATTCAACTTTCAAGGTAAAATGTTTCCATTGTTTCCTTGAAGAATGGGCTCTAAGAAGAAGAATTGGGACCTTTACCCATCCTGTCTGAGAGAAATGGCCCGTGTGTGCAGACCAGGCTCCGGAAAGGCTGTCTTGTTGACACAGGACAAGAAATGTTTTTCCAAGGTAACTGTAATACCCATGTAGTTCAGAAACAGGAACTTCCGCTAAGATATTACAGAATATTTCCAGGAAAATAAAACACCATTTCATGAGAACTTTAAAATATATCACAGTGCAAGTCTTGTCTTGCCACTGATTCACAGTAGCTGTTTGCTTAATTCAAATGGTAATCTGGATGTACACTAGCTGGCGGTGCATGCACACAACAGATTGTGTTATTGGGGATAACTGCCTTCCTCAGTAGTCTTATTGTTATAAACAAATAACAAGGGAGAGTGTGAAATGCCACAAAGATGTCTAAGTGGGTGTATCAGGGGCAACGCACTTGATGTTGTCACTAGCTGCATGGTTGTGCCTGGCTGACAATGATGCGGAAAGAAAAAAGGATCAGTTTGGAAACCTGTTTGCCTCTTTTTAGCTCTCCTTTAAGGCTGCATTATTTTGGACAAACATAATTACTCCTCAGACAGTTTTAGAAACATGCCTATTTTTAATTTATGTCGCGTTAACACTCCCAATAGGTGCTGCTTTGAATCACTGACGATATAGATGCAACCTTTTTACCCACACCAAGGTAATAATAATAGCTATTGTGTTACAACATTTGTACTCAATTATAATGAGACGGAAACAGGTAGATGCATTTGTGCTCAGCAAATCATTGTGGTAATTATCATTGACTGCTGTTGGGGGCCCCAATGCAGCTGCAACCTGCACGCCCTCTGATGCTCATGGAGTAAGCGTGTGTTCCTGGTGCAGCAGGACAATAGTACAGTATAAGTATTATGTTCCACTTGAGTACAATTGTATTGGTTTGTATCGCGGCCCTTTCAGCTTTTTCCACACCTCAGTGAGTTTGAGATGGAATCGTGTCGAGGTTAGACTAAATAGTGCATTGTGTATACAAATATACAACCTGTTGCCATGGAAGTCAGTCTAAAAATAACGCTTTTAAATGAAGTTGTTTCTGTTTTGAAGTTCCTAGCCAGCAGTGGCCGTCTTGTAAGCGTCACCCACTGACTCACTATAGTTACTTTTTGACAATCTGTACATCTATGCAATAATTCACATTTCTTTTTGATAACAGAATTTAATTCATGGTTTTATATTTCTGATAAAATAGAAGCCCAGATTATATTATTCGCATTTTATAATTAGTGGACAGAGCCTCTCAGTCTGTGAGGTGAAGCCAAAGCCGAAGTGTCTTAAACCTGCATTCTTTCTAATGGCCAGCAGGGGCCAGATCTATGGGCTACAAATAAGAAATTTGATAACATTCAGAAATGAGCCGACTTCTCACTTGATTTATTAGCTCAGTAAACAGTTTGCTAACGAGTTTATGGTCTCAATATCACGTTTTAAATCTTCTTCCATGCAACATGATGCTCATTTTGTAAATGATGGTACCATTTAGTGTAAATTAGACAATAAAGCAGGGTCTGTTTTAGGGCGTGGTTACCTTGTGATTGACAAGTCATTCTCAGTGAAACTGTCAAACCAGGCAGCGCTGATCAAATATGAATCAAGATTTTGTGACCTCATTGTCTATTTCTAGTATAAAATATTTTCAGAAACATATTTTAATTCAATTTCAATTCAGTTTTATTTGTATAGTGCCAATTCATAACAGAAGTTATCTCAGGACACTTTTCAAATAGAGCAGGTCTGACTTTATAACATTATTTACAGAGACCCAACAGTACCACCATATTTTAATGTATTGTTTATTTGTAAAAGAGGACAAATGAGACCATTGTTTCCTGCTATGAACTTTCTTATCAGAAACTAAACACAGTCAATGAGCACAGCTCCACTTACTTGTAGTACATCATGACTGCTGGCCTGGCGCCAAAAAAATCAACATGGTGATGGTCACAGCGGTGCTTTGAGCCAAATGTAAACCTTCGAGTTAAAGTCAGAGGATTGCAAAAGTCTTTCAAGTCAATTCATCCTCTGGGCACCGTGAAGGTCTGTAAAAAATAAATGGCAATCCATCTAATACAGTAGTTATTTGGACTGATTGACTGACAGGCTATATAAAGTCAGTGGGATGATGGTGTTGCATAAAGGGTAAAAATATATTAATAAAGTGAAGTCATTTGTGATCACATGTTGGGGTCCCTTGTTTAAGACTGATGTATTGATACAGTTGAAACAAAACAATTAATATATAAGTTTCAATTTTTTTTTTAAATCCCCCAGTGCTTTACAAAAGTGTCCCATTCTAAAATTTACTTGTGTTAAGAAAACTTAACTAACTTTTGGACCCCAGAATGAGGTCATAGGTCTCAGTAGTTTAACTATGCCTCAGTCAGTGGTTTTGTATATTAATGTTCTTTTATATCGCAACATGAAAATGCCAGTGTTGTAGGTTGTATTTGCTTCTTCTACAATTCATCAGGTGAGATCATTTGTAAATGCCGGGGTTCTTTTGTGTTTCTGCTGCTCTCCTTAAAGTTTAAACAACCTAATTTGGTCCTTATTCTTTTAAAAGCTTGCGTGGAGAATCAATTCATCTTGAAATAATCTCTAAATAATCTCTCCAGTTAGAGTGGTGCGAATTTAACTCAGCTCAGTCTCTGCATCATGGAAAAAGACTTTCCCCAGCTGTATTTGTCTAACCAGGGGTCTTGTTTTACACAAAACAAATGTCTCATTTGTTAGTTTGCCCTCACGAGATTTATGTCGTCTCCAGGCTATCTCGAGGATGGGAGGACTGTGGAAGAAGCTGCTCACTGTTTGGGTCAATGTCGGCGGTTTACATGCTGGAGTCTACCTCCTCAAGCGGACCGGGGCCGTGTTTGGGCAAACTCCGGAGGATGTCTATGAATCACGAGGAAAGGTTAATACACAGGGGGACGAGAAGGATGACAAGCAGCTCTCCTAATTCACGTCCTGAGTTTAAGTTCTGAATTTGTATTTGAGACCATGTTCGATTAACATTATTTATCTTCTCTTAGTCCAGGTTCTCTGGGCAAGTGAGCCAAGCAGCTTCAAGTGTATCATTTTTGTATTTCTCATTTGTTTTAATGAGACAAATGCCTAACTGGAAAGAGAACAGCTGTTTTCATGTCCACCAGAGCTGTGCTCTCACACTCTGTTTGACTGGCAGTTAACTGTTCAGACACCAGCTTCACTGCAAACCTCAAACCCGCTGTGTCCTCTTAACAGTAACTGCTCATTGCCATGTGTTCTGATTTAATAAAGATTCAAACAAAATGTCAGTTGTACATATTCATCGCAAAATACATTATGTGTGTTGTTTGTCTGTGACAGAATGGGAAGCTGTACTTGATAAAATATATTTTCTATATTTTGAGGAATATTGTATAATATTCGACCTGCTGGAAAGGAAAGCTGCATGAGTGTGCTTTGATGTTGTGAGCCATCACTCAGGTACAATAGGGCTGTTGTTTCCTTCAGTTCCTTAACATTGGATGTGCTGGCCTGAGCACTCATCAGGTGGGGCCACAGAATCTAATATCAACTCATATTAACTAGAAAAGGAAGTCTGTGCTTCTGTGTGTGTGTGTGTGTGACTCAGAGTGAGAGTAATATGTGTGCGTGAACATTTGCAGGCACAGCACTAGGGTATTCCCAACAGGGAAAACCGTATAATTGTTTAGAGGAAACAACAAAGACATATGCAGTAAATGATTAAGTTAATGTGATGTATATTGAATTTGGGTCTTAATTAACTACAGGTGACAAATAGAGTTATTCTATTTTAACTTGAATTTAACAACTTTTTTATATAATTTGAAGGAAAATAATAGTGCGGGTACTGTTCTCACCGTCTGACATTTCCTTACTTAATTCTAATAATACAACTTATTGCCTCGTTGCCTCTAGTAATTGGGGAAGCTGAACAGCCCGTAAAGCCTACAGTAATGGGAACTGAACTTTTCCCCCTCCCTCCCCTGTAAATCGAGGTTATTGGGTCACAGTTTACTCATAATGATTTGCAAAAATGTCGTATTAAGTAAAGAAACAAAGGATTGTTTAGATGTGGTGAAAGATGACACGGTGACGTAAGTGGGTTAGGAGAGCTCATAAAAACCCACGTGAGCGCGGAGGTTGCGGCACTGATTCCGCGGAGCGAAGAAGTAAACACGAGATGATCTGGACAATTTTCCTGCTCGTCCAAGCTGTCCTGTTTTATTTCATTCTCACACACAGATCGAGGTAAGTTACTGTTTGATTCACTTGTATTGTCTCATATATGAATACTGTAATATTTGCTTAGAATAAGGAAACATTGTTCTTTTTCACTCTTTTCACACTGAAACTGGTTTATTTGCACATCCCTCAGTTCTAATGTAAATCGTGGCTGGTTGAAAATCCACTTGTTGCTACTTCTAGGGCATCAATAAGAATAACACTGTGGTCGTAATAATAATAAAGGAGTCAAGTTTTATTACCGCAAGCAAACACATGTATTTAGTCAGTTTAGAGGGTTGTTCCCAATCCAGTCTCAGGAATGTGGTTGAGCAGTGTTAAATATAGAAGTCTACCTATAAGGATTTTGTTACTGGTTTTAGTTTTCCTTTCAGACAATTAAAAATGATGACAGAGGTTCTGTGATGTAATTCTAACTAATCCCTGTTATTTTTGTGTTGACCTTTACGTCTATAACAATAATCTCATGATGAAAGGTTGGTCATACAAGCACAGTTTGTACATTGTGTATATAGATGGAAGGTGGAGGACCAAATACTTTAATGCCAGTAGGATAAAGTGCCAAACAGGCAAAGGAGCAACTATTTGAATTACAAAAAAATCAGTAAGCACCTGTTTATATATATATACATTTGTTTTTGTATTTTTTAGATCCAAGAGTGAACCACCTCTAGACAAAGGAGTTATTCCATGGTTAGGCCATGCACTTGAATTTGGAAAAGATGCTTCCAAGTTCTTGAATCGAATGAAGCTGAAACATGGCAACATTTTCACAGTGAGTAGAAGATAAAGATGATGTACATCTGACACACCGCTCTTTAGATACTTAAATGATAATTTTTCCAACAACCTTTAAGAGTTTATTTTCCATATTAGCAAGTCTTAAAACTGCTTAGGGGAAAAAAAGGAAATTTAAACATTTACAATTCAATGATAACTGGCCTCCCTCTGCTGAAGAAGATGATGTGATACAATCGAAAAGTTGTAGTTAATTAATAGACCTCGAGGTGAGATTATTTTGCAAACTACTGTTTCCAAAGTAAAGAATTAACTTTATTATGCAATGCAGTTTTACTGAATGCTTGAAAGTCAGGTCTAAAGCTAAATTTAGGGTGATTGCAACAGTAAAAAAGAGACGCCCTGTTTGTAATGTGTAATAAAGGGCTGTGAATTGTACATCAGAGTTTTGTTATCATCTAATAAAATCTTATCTACCTGTCCAAATGTTACTGCAGACGCACACCTCAGTGATTTAGGAATATGTTCATATTCATGTAACAGCATGTTACAGATACCATCGTGCAACATAAATTTACATCAGGACATACAATGATTTTCAGTTATCCTGAAACAAAATACAAAGTTTCATATTTTTGAGTTGGACTAACAATTCCAAAAATACTGCATCAGAAAACAAAATAGAATTTGCTTAGTATCAAGGTAGTTCAGATAAAAGTGACAATAATTCCAACAATGTATTGTGATATGAGATATTATACACATTTGGTGGTTATTACTGTGTTCATTGCGAAGTTAAATACTCATAACATTACAGCATTTTAACTGTTGCACTGATGATGTATAGGTGCGTGCTGCTGGGCGTTACGTGACAGTGCTGCTGGATCCACACTCATACGACGCAGTCATCAATGACTCGGACTCCCTGGACTTTACTCGCTATGCACAGGTGCTCATGGAGAGGATCTTCAACCTGCGGCTCCCACATCACCAGCCGGCTAAAGCAAAAGCAATGATGAAAAAGTAAAGACATAACTACTTCATAATCCAAACTGAAAGCTTGTGCTGTATATTTTCATTTTCATTTTAGATGAATGTTGAAGCAAAATTTGTTTGTGGAAATTTACCTACTTAAGTCTCATGAATAGTATCAGTGGATATTTCTGTAGAATGCTCTTCCCATTTTAGGAAATCTATATTTAGGACTTCTCGTTTTGTCACTGTGCGCAGTCGTCATCTACACAGAATTTGTTTATTGTGTAGAACTGAAAGTATCTTAGTCTCACCACCTCCAAGAAATCAGGGTAAACCCACACACTAGATAGATGCAATCTTTTTATTTTATGGTTTAAAATAATGATGTTGCGGGCACACTGCCTCATTCAGGGTTGCAGTTATATGAGTGTGCAGCTTTCCCTTTCCCAAATTTGTTAAATAATAAAACGTAAGGGGCACCAGCTCTATCAGGTGAGCTACCTAAGTTCCAAGGCTAAGTCCTTGCTGCAGCATTCAGGAGTTAGAGTCCGACCTGTGGCCTTTTGCTGCGTGTCATCCCCACCTCTCTCACCCTTTCTTGTCTATCTTCAGTTGTCCTTTCAATAAAGGCAAAAGGCCTCCCAAAGAAATATAAAAAATATATATATAAAACTTTAAAGTTATACAGCAATCAGCCATAACATTATGATCATTGACAGGTGAAGTAAATAACACTGGTTATCTGGTTATCATGGCACTTGTCAGTGGGTGGGATATATTAGGCAGCAGGTGAACATTTTGTATTCAAAGTTAATGTGTTAGAAGCAGGAAAAATGGGCAGCGTGAGGTCTTTGACAAGGGCCAAATTGTGATGGCTAGACGACTGGGTCAGAGTGTCTCCATAACTGCAGCTCTTGTGGCTGATCGGTGAATTACCTCAAGGAAAATAGGTAGGGCAACTAAGTAAACAGGTAGCTTTAAAAATGTATGTATGGCACTGAGTAATTGCACTGCTTCCACAACACCATCAACCAGTGTGACACGATGTATGGAATTCCCTTCTGCAGTGCAGCAATTTTCTTCCCTCACTGTTACGACCTTTTGTGTCAACAGGCATTTCCTGGGAATGAATTTTGGTTCCCTTAACAGCGCCATGGGCAAACACCTGCAAGCCTTGCTGAAAGCTGAGATGCCTCAGAACCAGAAAGACTGGAAGGAGGAGGGACTGTTCAACTTCTCTTACAGCTTACTTTTCAAGTAAGAGAGCCCATCCACACACATACACACCCACACACACACGCAATGTCAAAATAAGTATGCGCTCAGGTCAAACGTCTTTAGCTAAACAGTTTATACACTTGTCAATCCTGAGATTCTCTGTTTGTAAACACAGCCAGAAAAATGGCTGTGTGACACAAATGTTGGAGGTCCCCTTTCCGGCTGAACATTTTTGTAAGAGCGGATGTGACTCAAAATGTCTTTCATCATACAAAGCATCAGATATTATTCAGATCTGGAATGTGAAACCGTGTATATGTTATGTAGCATTTACTGGGACAATATGACATCCACCACGAGGAGTGGAAAAATACCAGTTGAAAGGGGATGCTTTCAAATAGAAAACCTGTGTGGACTGGTTATCTTGCCATCAACACGGTGCCATATCAACTGAAAAGTCTTGCACATTCCCACACATTGTATCTCGTCTTTCTATGCAGGGCGGGGTACCTGACGCTGTTCGGAGGAGAGCAGAACAACAACGGCACAGATCCCTCAAGTGTCTACGAGGAGTACAAGAAGTTTGATGGTCTCTTAACCAAAATGGCAAGAGGCACGCTAAAGCCAGGTAATGACGCTGGAAACTTTGTGCCTACCGGTCAGATCAGTCAGATTAGATTCATCGGTTGATCAGTGATCTGAAAGCACTGTGATGAAATGAATGAAAATCAGTTATGATGTTCATTTGGTGTAGATACAGATCACAAGTGTCTCTAGCCATGAGTCACGAGAAGGTGTTGCTTGTGTCGTCACTGTTTACAATTGTACTGGCATGGTTTGACATCATCGCTGGATGTGCCATCAAAATTTGTTTTGTGGTTGCCATGACAAGTTTCACTTACTCAGTTGATTACATAGCGCCTAGGAGCCTTTTCATGTTTTTGTAGACTTTTCACAATTCACAATTCATCATCATCATCATTGTCAGTCCTGTACAGACTATGATCTCACATATCACAAATAATGCTCCTCTCCCACCTCTTGTACACAGTAATTTGTGTTTATGTATTTGGCATTTCCTTCATTGACATTCTGATCGAAGTGAACTGTTTGTTTATGTTCTGTCAGTGACTCACTCGTCACTTACTCTGCTATGTTTATCTGTGTAACAGAGGAGAAGAGGACAGCCCAGAGTGTTCGCCAGAGACTGTGGGAGCTTTTGGCTCCAGCAGGTCTGACTGAAGACTCGGGGTCAAGTCCTTGGCTTCATGCCTACAGATGTCTCCTGCAAGAGGAAGGGGCTGATAAGGAGACGCAGAAGAAGGCCATACTGATGCAACTGTGGGCCACACAGGTGAGTCAGACAACAAAACAAGAAAGGCATTGTGTGTGTGTGTGTGTGTGTGTGTGTGTGTGTGTGTGTGTGTGTGTGTGTGTGTGTGTGTGTGTGTGTGTGTGTAAAACAAGAATTTCAGTTGGTGATCACCTCGAGAGATTAGGCAAGTGGCCTGCTCAGACAGATGAACTTGATGTCACTGGGTCTCTCTGAGGTTGTTTTTGTCCCGTGTGTCTCCAAGGAGACTTGAATTCAAGGAGGCCAGGATAGAGATTAAGAGGTGCGTTAGCAGCAGTACTCTTATTCAGCACATGAGTGTGCTGTTCACCTCTGCTTTCACAGCAGCTATTCTACCTTTGAGTTGGATAGCCATGAAAGTTCTTCAGGGATATAAGATAGAAGATTGTAATGGAGTGTCAGTCTTGAGACTACTTTTTAATGCTGTCAGACTTCAGAAAGCTGAAAGACTATTTATTGTGTCAAGATAAAAGACATGGCAACTTTATCGACATTTTTCTGTCTCTACGGTCTTTCTGTGTAAATAATTTATATAAAAAGTGAAAGATTGTTTTAGATTGGTTTGTTGTATGGTTATCATATGTATGTACGTATGGAGTGTACATACCTGCAAAAATATAGTTATTTGTACTTTTTTTAAGTATATTTTTGGGGCTTTTTATTGCCTTTATTATAGGGACAGCTGAAGATAGACAGGAAAGGGGGGCAGAGAGCGTGGATGACACGCAGGTCGGATTCGAACCTTGGGCCGCTGCAGCAAGGACGCAGCCTCAGGTTATTTCTACATTTACGAGAGGAAAGGTCGTAGTTTTAATCTTGAATGGGATTTGAGCTTGTATTGACTTCCTCTTTACTTCTTATTTATATATAACTGGACTTGGTATTGACAGTTTTTCCTACAGCCCTGCTGGAAGGGTTTATTGCATCAGAGATATTTACTTCAACATTTGCCTTTACCCGCAGGCTGCTTACTCATCATTTTTTGCACTCGTCACAATAGTTTTTTTTCATTTGATTACAAGCTTTGAATCACAAATTTTAGTCGTCTCTGAGTCACAATTTAACATCCCTGGAAAACTTAAGTGAGAGAAATTAACATGTATTTGCATGATGTACTTGGACAAACAGAGGATTTGTGAAACACTTAATGACAAACAGTACTTTAATCACAGTCAGTGTAGTATTATTAAGTACAAACATTACAGTAAAGTATTTTCTTTTGTCTAAGGAAGGTTTCCCACAGTCAGGGCTGTAATACATCTGCCAAGCGTTTGGATAATGTCATGTTCTTGTGACGCATGTTTTAATGAGTACACAAGTACTATCATCAGCAGTGTCCTAAGAGGCAATTTTGTGGTTATTTATTCACTGTTGTATTTCCACAGTGTTCACTATTTTATGTGTCTAATCCCGCCAGACAGCACTGTGGTTTGCTGTAAAACTAAATAGCTTCAATGTCCTGCCCTTGGATGCAGGCAGATGGTGGGGGACCTCAGGTTTCCAATGGCTTTCCTTTTTAAGTAAACCATTACCGCGCTGCGTTTTGCCAGTAGTGAGACAATCCAGAGCTCCTCTCTTCCCAGGCACATGAAAGGACATCGTTTCTTTTTTTATTTTGTCAGCACTAAAGATTCATCAGGCTTTTTTTATATTGAATTGAACTTAACTCTAATTGAAATGTGTGCTTTGTTGCAAATCTGATATATTTGCATACTATAGATGTCACGTGATGTTCTTATTTGCTGTTATCAAATAACCACCTGCGCTGTAACTATGCAACGCCAGAGTGAGAGAGACAACCTTATCATTGTCGTAATGTGAGTCTTTGTTTGTTTCCAGGGTAATGTTGGTCCTGCTGCATTTTGGCTCTTGGGCTACTTGTTGACAAATCATGAGGCTCTGGCAGCGGTGAAGAGGGAGATGGAAACCTCGGAGACGTCTCTGTTGAACGGACCTGTGAACACCCCTGTGTTTGGTGAGGGCTTGATTCCAGCTTGTGTAAACATTTGTGAGACATTTATTGGTAGGAGGTTGTTCCTATTGTCAGCAAGATGAGCAAGTCTGGACTCACTTTATGTTGTCAGAATGCAAAAAACAATGAAATGTGAAAAAATAGAAATGTTGTGCATATATAGTACACAAAATCACAAATTAGTGCAAAAGAAAACTTATTCACTCAAGAAATTAGGAGTTCACAAATCCAAATAGACATGGTGCACAGGACGAAATAGCCCAAATGAGTTACAAAAATTAATAAAAAGGTAAAGAAATACTGACATTTTTGAGTAAAAATGCTGCTGCTTTTTCACTTATATGAACATTTCTTTTTTGCCCTTTTCAGATAGCGCCTTGGAGGAGGCACTTAGACTCACTGCTGCCCCCTTCATTACCAGAGAGGTGGTGCAGGAAAAGACCCTCCACATGGCTGATGGCCAAGAGTACCTGCTAAGGAAAGGAGACAGGGTGTGTTTGTTCCCCTTTAACAGCCCTCAAATGGACCCTGAGATTCACCAAGAGCCACAGGTTTGTTGTTCTGTCTTGTTAAAGCGACATCTTTCCAGCTCCCCACCTTTATTCGCTCTATTGAAACCTTCCTGTGCTGCCAACGGGAACAGTAGTAATTGTCTTTGGAACTAGTTAGAGGTAGACTTAAATGTAATTAGTGTAACTGTTATGTAAGGTGGAATCAACGCCCACACAAAGCTGGCTCTGTGTTACCCAGTGAGAGGTCAAACCCAGAGCTGTGGACCACTGAGGGATTAGCCGAGCACAACTAATAGGCGTGGGAAGGACATTACAGTTAGGAAGCATTCAAAAAAGCAGCAGAATTTAGACAAACATACAGTAAACTGTGTCATCAAGCTACTTTTCATAGATAAGTCTGTAATTTCTAATAATGCTTGCATCTAATATATCTTTAAAAATGTGTTTACTTTTCAGAAATTCAAGTACGATCGTTTCCTGAATGAAGATGGATCAGCGAAGAGAGTCTTTTATAAAGGAGGGAGACGGCTGAAATATTACACCATGCCATGGGGCGCAGGGACCAATGGCTGTGTGGGAAAGCAGTTTGCCATCAATACCATCAGACAGTAAGTGTCCTAGAATTAGTGCACCATATAACTTTGCAATCGGTTTAGATCTCAAAATGTTCCATGTTGGAAATTTTTGTTACCTTTAGTTTCTGCTTGAATGTTCTAACTTTATGTTTGATCTGCGTTTACTCTTTAGGTTTGTCTACATGGTGCTGGCTAACTACGATTTGGAGTTGTCTGACCCAAATGCTCAGATACCGGAGATAAATGCCAGTCGTTATGGATTTGGGATGCTGCAACCAGAGGGGGACTTGCTTGTCCGATTTAAACCTAGGAATACACACTAGGGCTTAATAAAAAGCAAAACACATGTGGTTTAATGTACATTTCAACACATACCCATTGTTTATAGTGTCAATATGCCATTTGTACTTTTATTTTCTATATTTATATAATACAGTATGTAATTATTTTGTTATTTATCAATAAATGTAAATAATACATTGTGTATGATCTTGTGTTTCTTTCAGTTTTTGGATAAAATTATTGGTTCAAGTCCACTACAGTCATGTATGTTTGTGCTGCCCCCAGATTCTTATTCTGTGATTAAACTGAAATAAGACATTGAAATGTGAGTAGGTGTATCTTTTAGGAGCTTTGGAGCCTGGCTCTGAATGTTAAATAGTGAGCACGAGTGTAATGAGGGGACTGCCTGTACTGTAAACAGAGCCGGCCACACATCTGTCACACTGACACATGCCTGCTGTTTGCAGAGTGAAGCTGAGTGGAAAGTTTAGATTTATATGTGGTGTGTGGAAAGCAACTGATCATTTGCTAGCAGCAGCAGATCCACCATAGACCGAAGACTGTAAGGTACAGTGAAGGTTTGTGAAGGAGCAACAAAGAACATGCTCTTATTTCTACTCACATTATAGGATTTATGTCACTGTTTAAGCCATTATGTGTTCCCTTAAAGAGGCATACAAAGTTGGTAAGGCACAATTATGGACAAAATCTGATCCCAGTAAATGTGGTTTAATTGTGAGTCCTGAGTGTTGAGACCCTTTCTGTGGATCAATGAGTGACTTTCCCACTGAACCCTACTGTGTCATGTAACCTTTAGTTGTATCTTGAATGTGTGGTACTTTTTAAATTTCCTATGGATATATGGCGAGTTAAGTGGCCTTAAAAAAAAATCTAAAATATTTACTAAAATCCTCTAGAATTAAAGTTTGCAGTGTATTCCTATAAGACTGTTTGCTGGCTTATAACGCTGCTATATACGAATACTGCTAGATACAATATAGATGCACTGAACTGTGCCTCGCTGGCTCTGTGAGGGTTAAACTCGCTCAGGCTGCAGCCGCTGGAGGTGCCTGAGTAAAATCAGCCCCTGCAGGATCCCGTTCACAGTTGCAGGCTCCAGCCAGCAAGCACTCTCACTGTGAGCAGGTAGAGGAGAGGAGGTACCGAGAGTCTCCAGAGTCTCTACTTGTTGATTCGCCCCAGGAGGGGTGGATAGGGCAGACTGGGCATGGTGACGGTCTGTGTGAAAGTGTTGTATTTTTCAGCATATCGCTACGTGGCTCATGATGCCTCCATCAGCTTCCAGCAGATCGCAGGAGACCTGGACGGACATAAGAAGTTTTAACGCGTTCACTCTTGAAATGTTGCTGCTGTCCGTCCATGAGATGAATCGGGATATAAGGAAGACACGTGTGTATATTTCTTTTATTGTGTTTGAATCTATTTTTGGACTCCGATTTCATTTTTACTGGCAGTGGGATTATTGTAACCCACTTGGTTTCACTTTTTATGCCCTGTCTTTATTTAGCGTATAGCTGGCCATCATATTACAATATTTACTAGTTTGACTGCCAGCACTTGTAGGTACAGTATATTTATGGATTTCCCATAAATGCAGTTGCATGACTCAGATATGCGCAAAAGAATGTAGAAATTATAACATGTTGATAAAATAATGAAATCAACTTTATATATTGGTTATTTTTTAAACTCTACGTGGGGAAACACGACACTGCAACTGACTGTGCAGGCTGGTCTTAGGGGGATGATATAATGTGTTATGGGCTCTTAATCAAAGTTGATAATCGGTGTTAGTATTAGTCCAGCTTAATATCTCTCCAGAGAACAGTTCGGCAGCACATTTACAACTAAGGCTTCCTTTGAGTCGGGACTGATCGCTGTCCCACCCCGGGCTGACACGTTTCAGTACCGGGGTCCGCGGACAGCGACAGACGCCGGTCCCCAGAGTGACAGAGGGGCGTTTCAGCACCGGACAGCGCTCACAAGTGGAGTCCAGTTTATCATTGGCCCGGCTCTCCAACCCCCACCGCCACCCTTGTCAGCAAGAAAAGCGGCTGTGCCTGTTAAAGCTGATTAAAATATCTATTTGGTTCTCTGATGAGTGGATAAACCACCTGACATTGCTACTGTAGGACACCGGCACTGGCCGCTCAAACAGCGGCTAAATATTAATAAATATTATTCTTTATTTTTCTTTTTTTATTACAGCCACAAGAAGAAGCGAGGAGGGAGCCTGATGCGGTCATCTACAGGACCATGTCTTCTTAATCTACCTGACTGTATCTTCCAGTCTTTCCAAGTGACCGTGTGACTTCAGTGAAGATGAGCAAAGCGGGGTCCCGGTCGGGCACCTCGCTGCCACCGGACACGATGGACATCATCCGCAGCAAGACCCACACCCGCCGGGTAAGACTCAACGTCGGGGGCCTCCTCCACGAAGTCCTGTGGAGGACACTGGACAGGCTGCCCCGCACAAGACTGGGCAAGCTGAAAGACTGCAACACCCATGACTCTCTCATGGAGATATGCGACGACTACAGCTTGGATAACAACGAGTACTTTTTCGACAGACACCCCGGCGCCTTCACCTCCATCCTGAACTTCTACCGCACCGGGAAGTTGCACATGATGGAGGAGATGTGCGCCCTCTCGTTTAGTCAAGAGCTGGACTTCTGGGGCATCGACGAGATCTACCTGGAGTCCTGCTGCCAGGCCAGGTATCACCAGAAGAAGGAGCAGATGAACGAGGAGCTCAAAAGAGAGGCCGAGAACATGAGGGATAGGGAAGGAGAGGAGTTTACAACCACATGTTGTTCCGAGAAGAGAAGGAAACTCTGGGACCTCTTGGAGAAGCCGAGCTCTTCGTTTGCTGCTAAGGTAGGCTCCAGCTCAGCTTTTCTTATTGCTAGGCTGTAGGGCAGAGCTGGTGAAAGTAGTAGGTAACCTCAGAGAGGACTGGCATACAGCCAACAGGCCTATATAACTTAAGTTTTAAATAAGGATTTCTCCATCAAGAAGAAAAGGGAGCGTTCCTGAGATGTTGGTCCTAATTATTAGGGTTTAAATTTAGAAAACAGTTGAAGACAAAACAAGAAAATGGCGAGTATGAAGAGTTTAACATCCAGAGGCAAGCATCTCTCCTTGAGACTGGCTTGATCTGATGACTGACTTTCTTTTAACCTGAACCAGTGCTTTTAATCTGTTACCTTCAGCAGCTGGAGTACAGGAAGGAGAGAGAGGGAGAGAGAGAGAGAGAGAGAGAGAGAGAGAGAGAGAGAGAGAGAGATGTTGTACATCAAAGCTGTCTGCAAAGTTTTGCTTATTCATCAGTGTGTATTGAATTGTATAACTTTGTTACTCAGCTTAAATCAATAATCTTTACTAAGTCTACTTTCCCGAGAAGAAAAGGTTGAAGTTTTTATGGGGAGTCAATTAAAACCTTCTTTTTGTTTTGTGCATGACAACCTTTATTGTCTCCCTTTATTGGTTTCAGTCAGATACTTGTTCCCAAGCCAGTATTGTCTGGAAGCTGGTCTCTTGGTAATTATTAAATGTTTGTTTTTCATTGGCAACACCAGAGAGGATGAAAGGAGTCACACTTTATTGTTAGAGTTTAATTCATGTCAGGATGGCAAGAAACTTTACTGCACAAAGTATATATTTTTAGACCATCCCCAACCAGATGTTGCCCTTTTCAGTCATTCTACATTTATCTGAGAGACTGAAAAAGGAAAAGAAAAGTCAAACAAATGATGTGCTACACTTCCAGTGAACGTCTTTTATTTTCAGATGCAATTTGGAATATTTTCACAGTGTTTGCTGGTGTATCAGTTCAAAATGCCCAAAGATGTCACATTTCTGTACACAAAAAAATGTGAGGAAGGCGCAAGACCTCCAGTCGATTTCATGGTTGGATCATTAGTCAAAGAAATTCCAAACACCTCCTTGAACGGGGGTCTTACATAATGTATTTAGCTCATCCATTGAAAGAACCATCTCCATCTCTGACCTTGAATTACAGAAGCCCTAATTATTTTTCTTAATCATTCAATCACCTTGCCTAAAGCAGTGCCTTTCAACCTGTTGGGGCATAGAGCCACTGCAGGAGTGGCATGGTGACCTGGGCAAAGATACATATGTAGTGAAACATAGGTTAAAGGAATGTGATTTATGTAAATATTATTTTTGGGAACCTGTAATCTGTGGTGATTTTACCCCAATCAAAACATAATTTCAGGCGGTGCCCTTTAAAAATCAAGTAATTTTAAAAATATTGAAGTATGATAATTGCTTATCATACTCTAATCTGGCTCACTACACTCTACATTTACATTGTTTTTAATTGATTGATTTTGATTAAACTGGGTTTTTGAATCTAATAACTTGACAATGGGGTTCCTCAAGGGTCTATTCTGGGTCCCCTTTTATAAATGTGTAAAAAAAACACCATTATCCAATCCAGACTAATTTTCATGCAGATGACAAGATTCTGTGTACACCAGCAATCAGTAGGCAATGTCCTGATGTTCTTCATGCATTTATCATGAACCCTTTGTTTTTAATGTTAGATGAAAAGTGTTTGCTTCACACAAACAAACACTGCTGCTATTCCTCTTAATACTTGATATGGTCTACAGACTTGATACGGAGACAAATACAACATCCATTAATGTGAGAGACGCAACAGTAATGAAGATTGGCCTCTTTACCTGAAAATACATTTCTATTCTTCTCCCTATTGGGCTTTCTTCTGAAAACTTTCACTATAACTCTTACCTTTCTTTGCTTGTAAAAGCAATAAAATACTATCTACCACTTCACAGAGCTGGCTAGCTTTCTGTATAACAGTGGTACATGTTGGACACAAAGAAACCACTTTGCAGTATTATCCAACTAATGAATGGAAATAATTACACAGGCTTTTAAGGATATTATTTTATGGTATTATATTTTAATGCATGGTTTAAAAATGTTTAATTGCTGACTTCTGTCATCTGTCATCTTTCATTTAGTTTTCTGGTTTCTTTTCAACACAAACCTGATTTCAGTGAGACTATATGAGGAAACATATTTTTAAATCTGAATATTTACTAAACTCTGTTGCTGTTCAGTGCTCACATGACTAGAAATTACGAAATAAAGGTCAGGAGTATGAATTGAAGCGTATATTAATAATTTTATAAATGTAAAAATGTTTACTTGTTACTTATTAATTCATAATAGGCTTATGACATGGCCCATTGTACAACTATTAATTAATAATTGGCTCCATTTTGCATTTGTGCAATATTTTGGAAAAATATTAAACATCAGTTTAAAAATATCTTAATAAGCACAACTTCCACCTCATGAAGTGCCTCTAGGTTCTTAACATACATTACTGTACACTTTAGCATTAGCTAATTTCTCCTCCACTGTGTCATTCAGTTTCAATTTCTTAACACAATCAAACATAGAAACACAATTTATTTATTTCTCTGTGGTACTAGCATGAAATCTCTTGTCCTCAGCTAAACACATGAGTACATGCTGTACAGTGTGTACAATTAAGGGGCCCAGAAACTTTTGAATGAATGAAAGGGTAGGGAAGCAGGCGTCATTTCCTCATGGTTTAGTTTCCATAGGAGACAGAGGGCAGTAAAAAATGTCATATTGAGGTTAAATGGCACCCATTAAATGCAGTCTTGTTTCTGAGGCTTAATTGAAGAGTTGTATCGGTGAAATAGCTTGTTCCCAAACACATATTCCACCTCATTTATTTTTCAGTGCTGATGAAATTTTAATTGCACATTAATAACGCTTGACTTAATGCCGGAGAGAAAAGGTGTGATCCAGAATATCTATAGCTCCAAATGTCACCTCATTCTAGACCTTTTGGAGTTATAACCTCTCCAAAAATACACATAGGCACCAGCACTTGCTCTGGACAAGCCATTTTTCATGTCAAAGCAGTACTGAAGGACACCATGGGTGCAGCCAGTCTGTCTTTCTTCTCGGGAGTGTTGAGGTGTTACTGAATAGTTTTAGGCCCACTTGGGTCTGCATTTCCACAACGGGTATGCCCACTAAATTATTTAGCATAACAATACGGACCCCTGGAAACAGGAAAAACTTGCAGGTAATCATTTCATCAATAAAAGATAAGCTCTTGTTGAAGAGAATGTGCTGAATGCCCATTTCATAATTTTTAGCCTGGCCCAGTGGGGAGAAAGAGTTTAGTGGGTTGGGAATGAAACCAGCCTATGTAACGCAGCATGTCTCAGCATGTGTCTGTTGCTCAAATCTCCCAAAGGTGCAGTTAAGTCTCAGAGGGATCACAGTCGCCCTATAAATCACACTCCCAGGGGTTTGGCATTAGAACTACCATTGCTGTAAAGTCTTAAGGTGGCCTTATTTAAATGGCCTAAAAACCTGTTTCCTATCTATTATATAGGATATACAGAAACACACAATTCCTACCAGTTAGAACAGTTTTAGTTATTTCACGATTTCTGTCACCATTGTTCTCACTGGTTTTGAAAGTAGCGGGGCTCTGTTGGTTAAAGGTGATGTCATGTGTTTCCATGCACCACTCTGGATTTTGCAAATATTGAATCAGGTGATGACAGTTCTGTGGTTGGTAGCTTATGTTGTCAGGCCACTACTAGGCTACTACTATCAATCAAATCTGATCTGTTACCTATTTAGTCACAAATACGTTTCAAGTAAACATGTGAGTTAAAGGCACACTATGCAAGATTTTTACCTTAATATAACAGCTTCAAAGTCATTTTGATTGTAAACAAACTCGTAGTACAGCGAATCATCCAGATAGCAAAGCTGGAGAGGGACGCCGCTGGCAGAACCAGCAATGCAAGTCTGAAAGGTGGCGTCCCGCCAAATCTTGCGAGAATCACAAATTGCTTTAAGGCACAACGTCACATACATCAGCGACATAAGAAGCAGCCTCAATGGAAGACACTAGCAGGCATTCACTCAGATGTTACCTGGTCAGTAGACATCTTCGGAGTCTATCTTTGCCTGTTCGATGTCCGACCCTTCCATCCTACTTAACATGTACCGGTATACAGGGGGGAGGGGATCAGGCTGTGAGTGCAGAGACGCAGAGCCGTATATAGAGACGGCTCTGGTGAGTGGTATTTACAACAGTTAACGTTAAATACAAGTACTCCGCAGCAACTCTAGGGGTAGCTGTTTGACAAAACCGGAAAACTGCATAGTATGCCTTTAAAACATACCTTCATACATACCTCACACAGCCAAGGCATCAATAATATAGATCAAAACATTGTTTTACAGTTAAGTTGGTATTAATGAGTCAGAAATAAATGATAACTATTTTAATCCCTTTGTCTTAATGTAGTAGGAATAGGCAACATCTCAGAACTTAGAAAGATGAGAAAACAAAAATGCATCTTCTGTGAAACATTTGGAAATTAATGATTGTATATATTACACACAAACACAAAATTAGATTGATAACCTATTCCGGACATGGGATGGGATGGATGATGTTGGAAGATATTGAAAACACAAATTACTGCACTGCAAAATGTATATTGTAAAGTCTGAACCAGCTTATGGATGTACAGTAGACATTATGTTTTACAGTTAACTTAATGTTGTGTTGAGTGGACACAATGATAACTTACAAATGGAACAGGATCAGGTTCTGATTGTTAAGTTTTAGTCTAAAAATAATGTTGACACATGCAGCTTTCACTTGACAGACTTTTCTGACGCCTGTACACTATGGGAATTTTAATTCTCGTCTCCTAAAAGCCTTGCAGCGTTCTCTCTACCCACTAAAGCTTTGGTCCAGAACAGGATACTGAGCTGTAAAACTGACACTTCGTTCCTTTGCCTTGGCAGGGGCT